GAGGAATGGGACTGGAGGAAAGAGAAATGGAGAGAAGAGGAGGGAGTGAGTGTGTGCACATGTGTGTGCACATGTGTGTGCGTGCGTGCGGGGGCGGGCCCTGAGGCTGCCCCCCTCCTCCCCAGCCCCCCCCCACTCCAGGCCCCACCTGGTGGGGCGAGGGCACGGTGGGTGGGCAGAACGCTGAGCCTCCTACTCTGTTGGGTTGTTGGAAAAGTCATGACGTATTTTTTCTATGTTTTTCGTTGCAAAAATGTGTCATGACTTTTCCGACAACCCAATATTTAAACCACCCAGAGCCAACAGTAAATTCAGCATCATAGTTGGGTCTGGCCTTTTCTTTCAACCTCACAAACTTTTTGCTTATAATCCATGATCATCTTATGGGACCACAGTTGATATGTGGTCTGTTGGCTGACACACCGTTATGTGGCACACGACCGTCCCACAGATGGTGGCTGGGAGGGCCCCCCTGCCTCGGTACCTCTGCTCTGCTTGGGCCACTTCAGGCACCCCTTTCCTGTCTCTTCCAGTCCATTCTTCACACAGCAGCCAGCTGCTGTGATCATGATTCTAAGATGCAAAGTAGAAGACATAGCCTCTTAGTTCTGTCAATTCTCTAACTCCTGGTAAATGGCCTCAAGATCCAAGTCCTCTCTGTGGCCTCCGATGGCCACCGTGCTGTGTCCTGCCCACCTGTCCAGTCTGCTCACATCTGTTCCACCTGTCCATGTGTGGCTTTCCTCCAGCCATAGGACCTTTGCAGGAACCCCTTCTACTCTCTTCTAACTTGTATGTTCAACCTGTCTTCCTCAGGGGAGCCCTCTCTTCCCAACACCTGCCCACCTCCCCCTGCCCGGGTCTCTTTCCTTCTCTCAGTGGGGGGATGATTAGTATCTGTCTCCTTCACGGGACTGTGAACTTCCTGGGGGCAGGTCCCATATCTGGTTTTACTCAACCGTGAGCTGGCAGCCCTGGGCAGGGTCCTGGGCACATAGCCATCCTCAACATTTATTAGATCAGTAAGCACGTGAGTGAGCGATGGCACGTAAAATGCCTACGCGTAGGATGTGGTATGCAGAGAATACTCAGAACTGTTAGACATTGTTATTCTTTCAAGGAAGTTAAAGCTAGGATCCCTACTATCACATTGCTTTAATCTTTGAATGGTATTTCGGATTCCAGTCATACTTTCTAGTTTTTCCCTGGCATGGAACTTTTAAAAATGCTATTTAGGAAATTTGGAGATACTTAAGGAGATATATCATCATTTATTTAGAAAGTTGATTATGGACAAGCCAATCATTAGTTATGATCACTATTACATGAAAACAAAAGAAAAACTAGCCCATTCTCTCAGCATTCAGTGGTCATTTTATTTTCATACTGGAATCAGGTCCTTTTTAATGGATTTTAAAAAAATCCCTAAGACCACAGTTTAATATTTACAGCGTTTTCTTCAAGGACCCTTTCCCAGTCATTTTAATGGAAGTTTTACCTAATGGTTTGTAAATCACAAGATGAACTAGTTAGCGACACAAGAGCCAAAATTCATTTTCGTCTTGTGACACACACCGTAAATTTGTTTCTTTGGATGGAAAACAGAAAACAAACAAAAAAAGAATAAAAATACTCCAAAGCACCAACTCCTAAGAGTTGAGGCCCAGAACCACAAGAGCCAGGAAATTCTATTTAAAGGGAATCAACTTAAACTTTGATTTTTCCTGGCATTGGCTGTTGTTTTTTTTTACCTGATCATGTTGTTTAAAGATAGTTAGGACATTTCATAATCTTATTAAGAGGAGCAAATAAAGCACAGGCCATTCAGGCCAATGAGCACTTTTCAAAGTTTGCTTTCTTGGCCTGGCTTCTCGTTAAGATCCAAGGGTCTTCAAAATGTCCAATGAGCCTTATTTCCTTATTGCTCAAGAGTTTTCTGCAGTAACAATATTCTACTGTTACTTTCGCCCTAATGGGTCCGTTTTATTTTTTTTAATTTTTCATATATATATATATTTTTTTAAAAGATTTTTATTGGGGAATTGGGGGGATGGGAACAGTGCTGGGGAATTGGGGGAAGGGGAACAGACAAATTGCTGTCGTTTTGTTCTTCAGTCTAGTTGTGGAGGACGTTGCTTCACTGGCCCAAGTTGGCACCATCATTGCGCTCTTCCTGGTGAGGCAGATCAGTCGCCGGCTTCTGGACGGCCGCTCACTGCGGCTGCTGGCCGCTCACGCTGGCTGCTGGCTACATATGGCACCCATGGCAACCCACTGCCACAGGGACTGCAGCCTACGCCGTCGCCAGCGACTCACGGCAGCCCAGCTCCAGGTTGAGCTGTTGTTCAGCATCTTAGCTGTGGAGGGCAGTGTCACTGGCCCTCATATGTGGGATCCGAACCGAGGCCCTCTGGCATCCCAAGCGAGTTCTTAACCATTGCGCCACTCGGCCGGCCCTAATTTTTCATATTTTTAGCTGAGCCATCCTGCCACCTGTTGGCAGCTCAGCGACTGCTCAGCTTGGGCTGGGCATCGAACCGCTGTTGCTCAGAGCTCTTAACCAACTGAATGAGCTCTTAACCAACTTGAGTGAGCTCTTAACCAACTGAGCCACTCGGCCGGCCCCTAATGGGTCCGTTTTAAAATGGTGTTTCCATCACCAGGGCTTCACCAAATGCTTTAGGACGTTTGTAGGACAAACATGGTAGAACCGATGAGACAACCTAGTAAGAAAAGAAGTGAGAGGAGAAAATCGATTCCCCTTTGTAAAAGGAAGGGCTGGGTTAATGAATGTCCCAAACCAGGCGTCCTCCACTCCGCTCACTAGACATGGCACCACTGCCAAGGTGAGCTCCTGGGAGAGGTCAGTTGGCTCGGCCAATGGTTCAGCATGGCCGATCTCACCCATTCCCACCAGACGTGTACGGGGAGCGTCTTCCTTTGGGGTCTTTGTTCTTCTCACCTGAGGGTCATGTCTTGTCTGGGGCCCCCTGTCCCTCTTGCTGATGATGACTGCTCCTTTTCACTCCACCCTCCCCTCTTGGGATCAGTACAATCACCTGTTCACACCTGACCTTCCCTTTGCTTTAGGACTGAGCTCGGGTGACAGGCTCCAGCTGTGCTGCCCAGTGGTCTTACAGCCTGCCCTGCAGACTGGGCAGACCTGTTTCAAATCCATCTCTCCTGCTCACAAGCTGTCCAACTTTTAGGAAGCTACTTAGCTCCTTGGGCTTGTATTTCCTCATCTGTGAAAACAGAGATAATACCACTGACCTCATCATTGGCCTTATTGTGAAGATGGGATAGAATCGTGAACGTAAAGCATAGTTCAAACAGCCAGTACGTGGGGTTCAGAGTATCATATCCGTGAGACGGCTGCCAGGTTGCAGAAAAGGCCTTCTTCCGCAGACATGAGTGTGACATAATCTCTTTTTGTGGGTGTCCTTATGTGATGTATTTGTAGTAAAGTTTTTGCTGAAATTTGGCAGCTGGAATTTTTAGGAGCCCACGTCTGGGCTAGTACCATCTGTAAAAGTGTTGACTGAACCAGGTTCCCTTCTAATCCTTTTACAGTGAAATCTTCACAACTCCATGTACAGGTGAGGCCCAGGGAGAGACAAATAACTTGTCCAGGTCTTTAGGGTTCTAATGGCTGGCAGTGGGCACTGGGCTGGGAGCTTTACTCTAATTACACTATTTAATTGCCACAAAATCCCTAGGAGGTAGGTACTTTGATGTTTCCCATTTTCACCTGAGAATACAGAGGTAGAGATTTGCCCCAAGTCACATATCTGGTAAATGGCAGAGCACGGATTCAGACCCCTTGGTGTGTCGCCCCAGGGTCTCAGCGATGATAGGAGAATGTCACCTAGTGTCTCTGATCCTCGGTTACCATTTTATTGGTGCCTGACACGTAGTGGGTTCCCCAAACATGCTTCCAATGAATGAGGTTAACAGATAGCTGACGTTTCCTGAGCCCTCACGTTGTGTAGGGGCATGGACGCTGATTATGTAAGCCTTGTAGAATTAATTCTAATACCAACCAATGGGGTAGGTCCTGCTGCTAACCCATTTGACAGATAAGAAAATGGAGGCGCCAAGAGGTTCACTTGCTTGAGAGGATGCAGCTTGGAAGTAACATGGCCTATGGCCTGTAAACCGAGGCAGTCAGACCCTAGAGCTGGAGCGGCCAACCTTGACGATGGACCCTTGTCACGGCAGAGCTCCTGCCTGTTCTCGCGCATCTTCATGCAGTATCCAAAAAAAAAAAAATCAGGGTCCTAATTTTTTTTTTTTTAAAGATTTTATTGGGGAAGGGGAACAGCCAAGTTGTCCTTCAGTCTTAGTTGTGGAGGGCACAGCTAGCTCAGCTCCAAGTCCAGTTGCCATCTGGCCACTCGTCGGCAGCTTGCAGCCACTCAGCTCAAGGTGCCGTGTTCAATCTTAGTTGCGGGTGGGCTTAGCCCACCATCCCATGTGGGAGTCGGCCCGGCATCCTTGTTTTAGGAGCACATTCTCTCACCAGCTGAGCCATCCTGCCATTTATTGGCAGCTCAGTGGCAGCTCAGCTTGGGCGCAGCTCACTGGCCCATGTGGGAGTCGAACTGGTGACCCTGTTGCTCAGACCTCACCCGCTTAACCAACTGAGCCTCTTGGCCGGCCCCATCAGCGTCCTAATTTGAAACTTAAATGACTCTGGTGACATAAAACCGAAAATACCATGAAACACTATTGTAAATTCTGCCTGACAGTAATTCTGTGGATGGAAGAGCCTTTCTACAGCCTCTTTTGCCTGATGATTAGAAGCTTGAGGGTAGACATGTTATTCTAGCCAGTCCCAGAGCTAGTCTTGGAGGAAAACAGCTGACAAGTCTAAGTTTCTGTGAGAGATTGATGAGACCAAACATGAAGGTCACACCAGGGAGGTGGACATGACCTAATAAAATGGTTTTTATAAGGGTTGCAAAAACCTCATACCGCCTTCTGCTTTCAATGTGCAGCTGGACTTGCTGAGATCGTGAACAATAACGCCAATATGGATCGCCAAGGGCGACACGACAGACGTGTGACAAGAAGCACAGTGCCTCTGAACTAAGTGTGCAGCTGCCAGGTCAAGGTGAGTCTGGAATGGAATGTCTGCAGCCGCGGCAGCACTGTCTGTGCCTCTTCGTTTCCTCTGTGCCGGGTGGTCATCGTAGAGCCTCCTCATGGGACCCTGACCCGAGTAAATGGAGGCGCAGTACTCAGAGGAGGTGTGAGTCTGGCACAGAGAGTGCTGTCCACTGCTGCTTTGCTCTGATGGAAGCGTCAGAAACTCCAGCATTTTACTTCTCGTGTTCAGGCCACTCGTCAGACACCAAGGCGCGAAATGAAGCACAGAGAAGCCGATCCGCTTTCTCAGGCTGTTTAACCCAGAAGCACTCGGGGAGGATGTCTCTCTCTCTCTCTCTCTCTCTCTCTCTCTCTCTCCCTCCCT